TGCTACACCTGCCTCTCTACACACTTTTTCTTGGCTTTGTTGCTGCTTTCTCACAACTTGTGTGCACATGCTCCCACCTGCCTTTCCAGCCTGTATCATGTACCCACTGCCAACTTCAGCGGCATCTCTGTGTTGCTTAGTTGATATATTCTTAGTAGGTGGGTCATAAAGGAGAGATGTGCTTATCAGATTCCATGAATTAGTTCAGGAACATTATAATCAACTAGTTAGTAGGTGTGACGGTTAATTCTATATGTCAGTTTGGGCTACAAGGTGCCGAGATACCTGGTCAGACATTGTTCTGGGTGATTCTGTCGGAATGTTTTTGGATGAGCATAACTTCAAATAGGCAGATTGAATAAAGTGGTTTGCCTTCAGTTTGCCTTCTGTGATGTGGGCCTCACCCAATCAGTTAAAGGCCTGAATAAAACCAAAAGGCCTACCCTCACCCAAATAAGGGAGAATTCCTCCTGCCCAACTGCTTTTGAGCAGGGATATGGTTTTTTTCCTTGCCTTTGACTCAAAAAACATCAACTCTTTCTGGGTCCTGAGCCTGCCAGCCTTCGGTCTAATCTATGTCGGTTCTCCTGTTCTCAGGCCTTTGGATTTGGACTGAAACTACACCATTGGCTCCCCTGGGTCTCCAGCTCCAGACTGCAGACCTTGGGACATGATGGAAGCCATGATGATGGAAGCCAAATCCTTGTAATGAATCTCTTTCTATACATATATACATACATGTATATATACTCACTATCTATTGTTCTGTTTCCTGGAGAACCCTAACACTAGGTATAAGCACTAGCCCACCAGTTCTTAAAGTACAGGTCCCAGGACACAGCAGTAGCAGCAACACTAGGACTTGTTAGAAATGAAGATTCTCGAGCCCATCCCAACCTGCTTAAGTCAGAAACCCTGGGGCAGGGCCCAGCAGTCTGGGGTTCCAGAAGCCCTCTTGGCGGTTCTGATGCTCAACTTGAGACTCACGGTCCAAGGCTAAACATTTCACAGCTGCAACTGAATCCTTCCTTGCTACTCAAAGTGTGATATTTGGGCCCACAGCACAGGCATCATCTGGGGGCTGGTTAGAACTGCAGACACTCGGGTCCCACTCTAAACCTGTTCAATCAGTTTGCACTGAACAAGATTTCCCAGGTGATTCGTGTGCCCCTGCGTTTGCACTAAACAATGAGTCTGGGCCATCCTGCGGCCTGGATCTCCTCTGCACCCACCAGGCTTGGCTTTCCCTGGGCTCCTGAGTGCACGTCCTTAAAATCAACGCTCTATTACTTGAAGTGACTTAAGTGACTCTCTGTTTCCTGAAACACAAAGAGCCCTCTCAAACTCAGACCACCAGGTCTGGGGCACATTTATTATTTCAGTACCTCCCCTCCCGCCACCACATGCCCTAGCCTCACTGTGGATATGACTGCCCAGGACTCCTCACCACCTTGTTCATACATGTGGGTTTCTCTTCGTTTTTCTCTGCATTAGCTTTGTTTATCCTTACTCCAATAGGAACACCTAGAGCTGTGCTGTCCAATATGGAAGGCATTAGCCACATGTGGTTACTGAGCTCTTGAAATATGGCCAGTCTGAACTGAGATGTGCTCTAAGTGTAAAATAGACTCCCAATGCTGAGGAATGTAAAATATCTCATTAATCATTTTTATGCTGATTATATATTAAAATTATAGTATCTTGGATATATTGGGTTTAGTAAAATATTTTATTAAAATTGATTTCTCTCCTTTTTTAATGTGGCTACTAGAAGGCTTAAGATTACATATGTGGCTCACATTATATTTCTATGGACAGTGCTGTGTAGAGAACAGGCATGTGGCCACTCCATTAGGGGGGACGCTCCTGAGAGGGGGTGCCAAGTCTCTTCCCTGCTCTGCACAAAGCCTGTGAGCAACCCTCTGGAGGCAAGTAGCTGTCAGGACTGGCTGCAGAGGGCCTTCCCAGGGTCAGACCAGGGCTGCATCCCACTGCAGAGTATCATGAATGGTCCTGGTAAGGAGAACCATGGAGAATACTGCATGTTTCTTGGCCCCAGTTACCAAATTGGAAATCAGATGAGGACACTTTCTCCTCTACTTTCCTGCAGGGATTTCCCTCTGGAAGTAGTTCTCAGGACATTAATACCAGGTTCAAATATTACAAGGCTACCATTGACTGGATGCCTGCTTTTTGCCAGTGCTGCACTGATCCTTTTGCAACCCCGAGGGGCAGCCATTAGCTCTAGTTTACAGGAAAGGAAATAAAGCTCCGAAAGATTAACTTCCCCAAAGTTAGAAATCAGTGGAGCTAACATCCAAGACCGTTTGACAATACTGCCTTCTAAACTTGACCACTAGGGGGTCAAAAGGCTCCACATATGAATTATACTCTTAATTCCAGGACCTCTGTTCTTTGCGAGTAAGAAGCCTAAGTAAGAAGCATAGTGCAGAGAATTGACAAGAAGGCAGGTTTGCTGCTAGATTCTCTTCTAAGAGTCTGGGTTAGTCTGGTAGAGTCAACAGTTTATCATGGCAGAAGGACCAGTGTGGATCCTTCTAGGCCCGAGGTCTGTGGGGTGATCCCAAACCACACATTGGCTGAAACTGGCCTTTGGCGCAGAAGCAGAGTGTATCCAGGGCTATTTACGTTTAAAGACGCAGCAGCCTTTAGGTCATTCTCCATTTCCTAGTGCTAGAAGGCACGGAACCTCTTAAACGGTCTGGGCCTGAGTCTCCTCAAATTAAAACTAAAGAGCAGGCCTCAGCCCTTCCTCATTATTTTCTCCTTCCTGTCCCAAGTACCACAACCTATCAAAATTTTTCTACTTACTTGAGGCATCAGATCTCATTTTCTCAACAATGGAAATTGAAAAGAAGTTTAATTTTACCTGAGTTTTATTTAACTCTCCTATACTCCTAACCTACTTCACTCATTTAAAAGGGATCATAGAAAAGAAGGGCTATCCTAGTTGTAGACACTACTGAATTCAAAACCTTTATTCTGCAGAAACAGAGGGCAGGAGGCTTAAGGTCACATATCTGATCAGCAAAAGCTGGGACCAGAACCTTAGGCCTCTGACTTGTATTTCCCTGTATTCCCAGGTCCAAACAAAAAATCAGAAAAGAGGCATTACAGACTATTTGTGTCCCCACCGGAATTCCATGTTGAAGCTCTAACATTGAGTGTGACTATTTGGACACAGGGCCTGTGAGGAGGTGATAAGGTTCAGTGAGGTCATAAGGCTGGGACCCGAATCCAGTAGGGCTAGTGCCTCACAAGAAGAGAGACCCTAGAGGCAGCTCTTTCCTCCACGGGAGGACACAGCAGAAAGGCAGCTATCTGCAAGCCAGGAACAGAGCCTTCACCAGAAACCAGACCCTTCTGGGCCTGGATCTTGAATTTCCAGCCCCAAAATTGTGAGAAAATAAATTCCTATTATTTAAACCAAGAAGTCTGAGGATTTTTGTTATGGCAGCCTGAGCTGACTAATACAAGGGGATATAAAATGATTTTTATTTGTGGGCCTTACTCAAAGCATGGGCATTGAAAAGTGCACAATGTAGGGGAAAGCAGAGAATTGGAACTGGCCGAGACGAGGGCCACTCAGGGACTCTGACCGGGGCCACTTCCCATCTGGAATGTCCCAGCCCAAAGGCACTCGAAGGTCATTAAAAGGAACGAGTCACTCAGTTAAAGAATTCAGGGAAAGCATCCAAACTACGCACATTCTGTTCTGTGAAAGAGCCTGTCTGTCCTCCCTAATGTAGGGAAATAGGGAAAACATTGGCCCAGGTGTACCTCACCCCATTCTGGAGCCTTCCTGGCTACCTTAATCCTTATATAAAGTGTCCCCTAAAAACATGGTAGGGAGGACTATCTCCTGAAAGAAGAGAAAGTGAGTCTGACTCTCTGGTTTATAAGGCTTTAGAAAGATCTGAAAGGACAAGGAAACCTGGTCATACTTCTGAGGGTCTAACTAAGCCCCGTGTCTTTTCAGATGTCAGGCCTTGAAGCAGCAGCTGATGGCCTCAATTGCACAGGTATTCACAAGTGCAGCAGCTTCAGCATGCGAGGACATACTAGCAGAAAAGAAACAGTGTTATTTACTGTTAAGGTTTTTCCTGGAAGTTTTAAAGTGAATAGAATTTTTTTAAGTACAAAGGGGAAAAAAACCAACAAAATAGCTAATAGTTGTTATCACAATGGTGTGTTTATTTCCTACATATTTTTCTGAGTTCCACAGAACTTTTTATCATGGGCATGATGTGCTACTTTATAATGATGGTAATAAACATTGTTTATTCATTCTCCAAATATTTCAGCATCTATCATCTGCCGGGAAGTTTTCTAGATGCTAGCAGTAAACAAGATAGTTTCCCTCCTCCTAGAGCTTCCATTTAGGGGAATGGAAGATATAACAACGCATAAGGCAATGATGAATCCCAGAAGAAAAACTTCAGGTGGAGTGACCACGGAGAGTCCTGGGGATGGGGTGGCCCGGAGGGGTTCTCTAAGGAGGAGACACATGAACAGCGGCCTGAAGGAACTTCAGGGCTGAGTGAGGCAAAGGGCTGTGGAAGGAGCTCTTCCTTTAGAGAGGGAGCAGCAGGGCGAAGGCCCTGAGGCTTGCTCAAGGAAGAGCAGAGAGGCCAGCTTGACTTGGTGGAGTGAGCAGGGCAAGGAGTGGTAGGAGGTGGGTCAGGGGAACAGGCAGGGGCCAGACCAGACAGGGGACAGGGCTTTGTAAGGGGTCTGGTCTTAGTCTCAGGGTGAGGGGACGCCACGGGAAGGCTGGAGCAGGAAAGTGAGGTGACATGTAATTTGACAAAGTTCTCCTGGGATGCCTCCCCTGTTCGCAGGGACCACATTGCCCCCTAAGATGCAAATAGTTCAGGATGGGTGTGCTTTCTTTTGTGGGTTCCTCTCCCAAGAGAAGGTGGAAGCAGGAACTGCAGGCCTTGCATCTCCCACCTGGGATCTCACCTCCTGGGACTCACCTTCTATGGTCAACTCCACGGTCACCTGGCGGGCACCACTACCATTGCTGGCTTCACAGGTGTACTTTCCACTGTCCTCCTCACGGACAGCACGAATCACGAGGCTGAAAGTCCCCCGGATCCCACCGTCCAGCAGGAAGCGGCCCCCACCAGTGATGGGCTGCCCATTTCTGTGCCATGTCACCTGGGGCTCAGGGTAACCCCGGACCTTCAAGGAGAAGAAGAAAGGGTGAGAGCTTGTATTCAGTGAGTACTCTCTCTGTGCCCTGTGGTGTTCTGGTGCTTTACATGTGTGACTCATGTAATCCTCGAGCCATCCCTTGAGGCAGATAGTATGTTCGTTCCTGTTTTGGAGAAATGAGAAAATTGAGGTGCAGGGAGCTTTAGTAGATTTCCCAAGTTCTTGAAGGGAGAAAGTGGCAGAGTCAGGCATCCTGGCTCCAGAGCCCACCATACAGGTGACTCAAGCCTGGTTGCATATAAGAATCCAGAGGGAGCTTTAAAAAAATACCAGTGCCCAGCTTCTACTTTGGACCAGTTCAGTCAGCATTCCAGGGGGTGGAGACTGAGCACAGGACTCTAGACCAGCGCTTCCCTTTCTAATATGCAAATCAATCACCTGTTAAAACGCAGATTCTGCCTCTATGTGTGTGGGTGGGGCCTGAGACTGCGCAATTCAGAAAGTCTCTCAGATGCTGCTGAGGCTGCTGGTCCCCCTAGGACTCCCCTGGAGCTCTGGACCTGAGTTGCTGGTATGGCAGCCATTGGCCGTATCTGACAATGTAGCGCTTGACATGTGGCTGGTCCACATGGAATTGCACACTGTAAATTATGTACAGGATTTTGAAGACTAAGTACAAAAAAATAATGTAAAATTATCTGATGCTTTAAAAATATTGATTGCATGTGGAAATGATAGTATTTTTGACGTGGTGGGTTAAATGCATGGTTAAAATTAATTTTCCCTGTTTCTTTTTTTTAAAATGGTTACCAAAATTGTTACATGTACGTACCTCCCTTGAATATATGTTTTCTTGCGCTGTATGGCTCTAGATTGCTCTTTCTCTAGGAGTAGTTAGCAGCTAACGTCTGGGGAGTGCTAAGTGTTAAACACTTTTCAAAGTACCTGATTCATCTGAGCCTGATAACAACTTGTTCACAGAAAAGACATTTCCCCAAAGAGGAAAAAATACAGAGAGAGAGAAATTCCAAGAAAAGAAATCACCTTGAGTTTCAGAGAAAGTAAGTTCCCCAAGGGCCCCAACACCCCTGAAACACAACAGGCCCTTTGTATGGACCTGTCTCAGGAGGAGTAGGGCTCGGACTGGCTTATACAGCCTGGGAACCAGAACTGGGGGATTTTAGCACTGGAAAATGCACAGAAGATATCACATAAGTCTCCAAAGAAAGAAGTTATTTGCGTTACAGAATGGTGGTGGCCAACAGCTTTTAGCCACATATTTACTGCAGGCAAGAGAGGAAGGATTTGGATGCAGCAACACCAAAATTCAGGGGATGACCCCAAAGGAAGCTGCATTTAGAAAGAGAGCTTCCCATGACCTACAGCAGTAATCCTCCTCACACCCCCAGCAAGGTCAGAGAGGACGCCAGTAAGCCCAGGGGAGAAAACAAGAGGAGAGGCAGTACGTGTGCGCACATCTGGGCCCCGACACAGAGAGCCCCCAGGTGTGCTGGGGGGAGACAGAGGTGTGCTCAAAGCAGCAGCCACTGTCTCTGTACTGTGCCCACTTCCCTTCCCAGGTGCCCAGCCTCTCCCTCACCCTTGGACCTGTTTCTCAGTAGCCAGGATGCAGATGGCTTCCCAGGGAAGGAAGCCTGCAATCACAGGGAAAACCCCCAAGGCGAACAATCCCCTTCGGTTTTCCCATGTCACCCCTGCCAGTTTTTGAACCTCACAGGCCTGCCTGTCCATCCTCACTAATTTGTAGTCAGGCCTAAGTGAAAAAGAACAATGAAACAAAACTCCAACTCAATACTCCCCATCTTATTTACAATTTCTGGAAATAAACAAAAAAATCTCTTTCCTATCAAAATCTAAATTATACTCATGACAGAGCTGGAGAACTTGGGAGGGGATGTTTAGATTCTGAAATCACCTCCTCCAGAAGCAAATAACATCTAAAGGCATTGCAGCCTCGCCAAAGCATACGTATCCTATCCTGGGTTGACGGTGCTGAAGGGGACCACATTCATGTGGGCAGATAAGGCCTCACCGCTGTTATGAGACAAAGTGTTAACAGTTGTCTGTGGGTCCCTCCTCTTCCCCTTTGACTTAACTATTACTTTCTGATATTTCTGCAAAGACCTGTCCATTATAAAGTAGAAAGAAAAATTAATGAAAATGTGTGTTCATTTTATATCGGTGTGTCTGTATGAAGAACACACAACACAAACATGCATTAACTTGTTGAGGCCCTCTGGTATTTCTATCCAGTAATGGAAGTAAAAGCACTATACACACAAACATCATGCATTTTTGAAGGTGATAAATGTCATGTGCCCATATAAAATCATGTCATCTTATGGCACTATCTTGGCACAAAGGTTCTTGCCAAGGAACACCAGACAATTACTCTGTTAAAGCTTATTTTCAGAAAACAAATAAGAAGCTCCTACAGAAGGAAGTCCCTTGGGAGTCTGGTCAGACAGTGAACTTGCAAATCATCATTACCTTCTCCACTGTCAGACAAGGCCAGCCTAACCTCCAGAAGGTGATTACACAGCCTTCTGCAAGCTTCAGAGGAAGGGAGTGCAGAGCAGTGTAACCGGGTGGAGATAAATCATTAACTGCGTTGCTAGCATTCCATTAGCTGTCTTCTGGCCCTGCGGCAGAGCCAACTCTGGTGCCCATCAGGCCCAGAGGCATCAATGATTAACTGGGGACACTGCAAATGTTCCACAGCTCAGGGACAGGCTCCCTCTTTCCCTTTCACACACACACACACACACACACACACACACACGTATACACACGCACACCAAATCTACCTCTGAAATGTACTTTTAAAATAAATATCGAGGGGTTTTTAAATGTGCTGGAAGCAGCAACTCTTAGAAAGCTGCATTTCTGCAGTTTGCAATGGGCCTTCTGTAGCACCTTGCATTTGAAGCAAAGGCAGGAATTTCTGTGACCTCACTCAGTTCCAAGGTCAGAAAGATTTGCAGCTCCAATCCTCATCTTCCCAATACGGGAAAAATGTGTTCAACTGTTACCTAGATTACCTAAAAATTATGCAACTTCAAGTAAACCCATTTTTACTGCTGACCTATTATCCTGGGCTCTTGGGCAGGGAAGAAAGAGAAGGAAGAGAAGCCTGGGTTCACATCCTTGGGAAGCATGACAACAGCCCTGCCCTCCCTGGGCGCCTTACCTGCTTTTATCACAGGCCTTCAGCCAAGAAGCAACAGCTGGGATTTTTATAGCTTGGTCCAAGAACACACTAAAAACCCACTGATACTTGAGTTTTCAGAGGGCCTCCTCTTACAGAATCTTATTGAATTCTTATAGCCCTGTAAGAGGAATGTCTTGAGTTGTGTTCCCCAGAAGCAGAACCTGCAATAGGATTCAGGAACCCCCGCCTGCAAATCCTTAGCCAAGACACATCGGCTGGGAATGGGTGTATAGGCCTGGTGATGGGAGGTCCAGGTAGGGCACCAATGCACCTGTGTCAGCAACCAAAGCCAATCATGTCCTTGAGCCAGTAGAGTAGAGGAAAGAGGCCTGCAGAAGGGGCTGACCTGCCAGGGACCTCACGTGGCAGGTAAGTGGACATCGGGAACCAGGACCATGGTCTTGGTCTCCAAGCTGAGTGGCTGTCTCTCTGTGCCCCGTTGGAAAGTTGTGTTTTCAGTGGGACAAAGCATTGATATGTTTCTACTCTCTGACAGACCATAAATCCCTTCTAGATTAAAGCAGTATCTGCTCCCAACTTTGGAAAAGAGCGAAAGGGTTCAGAAGAGATACGGTCATGCCATAAGCAAATCTTGGACGGTCCCCTTGGAGTAACAGGACAGTGCTACAGACTAGGCTTGTATCCCTCCAAAATTCTTATGTTGAAAACTAATTCCCAGTGTGATGCTATTAGCATAGGGCCTCGGGCGGGGTGGTGATTAGGTCATGAGGTGGCGCCTTCATGAATGGTATTAGTGCTCTTATAAAAGGGACCCGAGCAAGCAACCTTACCTCTTCCACCATGTGAGGACACAGTGAGAGGAGAGCCATCTATGAACCAGCAAGCAGGCTCTCACTAGACACTGAATTTGCTGGTGCTTTGATTTTGAACTTGCCAGCCCATAGGACTGTGCAAAGTAAATTTCTGTTGTTTAAGTCATCCAGTGTATGGCATTTCTGCTCCAGCAGCCCCAAGTAGTCTAAGATAGATAGATGTCTATCTTAAGGTGTCATGCATGCACCTAAGACAGCCCTAGTAGAATCTGCATGACACAGAGAAGAGAGCATGCAGGCCCGGCCAGAGTCTGGGGTCTGGCTTGGCTACCTAACCCCTTCAGGTTGTAATTCCTTCTTTCATTGAAAAGGAAACAGCTCCTAATATCTAAGCTCCCTTCCATCTCTGAAGCAGTTGGTTCTAAAGAGTGACCCACTTTGCTTCTGAGGAAGTCCTCAGAAGTCCTCCCCCTCCAGCCTCCTCTGGGTCCAGCCCACAGCCTTCAAAGCCTCTAATCCTCCTTATGGGAAATCCAAGTGACCACAGGAGAAATGCTCACCAACGTGAGCAGGCGGACCTGACTTTTCACTATAATGAACAGCCCACAGAGGGTCATTCTAAGGAGAATCATATTTTTACCACACTAACCACATTTAACTGGAGGTTGTGTTCTTAAGCAAGAGCCCAGAATCAAATAAATAAAAGGCATAACCAACAACTTGTCATAAAAATAAAGATATAGTAACCATAACCCCTATAATAATTTAAAATAGTGAAACTGTGTTCCAGCTCCATTAAATGTTCTCAGAAGCCTTTATGTCCTCAAAAGGCCTTTAAAGGGAATGGGGGCTCATTCTGCATGTGCTGGATGATGAGAAGAAAGTTGGGCTGCAGGTGCCCGGCTGCTCAGCTGTTGCATTACACCCACCTGTCATCTGGAGAGACACTTTTTCAGAACCTGGTGCTATCTTGAGATTTATTTAATGACTGAAAGTGAAACATTCTTAAGGGATCAAGTCTC